GCCTATGTTTTAAGTTAATTTATGCGTCAATAAACGAAGAAGAAGGGGAAACTGGCATGTCGGATTTAGCGCAGCTGTTTAATTCAGAAACAGAGGATGAGGACTTTGAGGGGTTTGATTAATACTCTGTAATAAATACATGAATAAAGCACAATCAGACTCAGTTTTGCTCCCGCTCTATTTTTCTACCTGAAAACTTAATTCAACAGCAGCCTCTGGGCCGCGGCGCACCCGGACTCACCTCGGCAGGTGTTTTTTCATCTAAATAATCTAAATCTTTTTAAGTGAGAAAGTCCACCTGAAAATTTAATCATTGCAGTCAGTTCATCCAGATTATTATCCTGCCTATGTTTTAAGTTAATTTATGCGTCAATAAATTGTATCAGAGGAGTAATCACAGCCCTGTGTCATCAGCGATGTGTCTCTCATGGCCAGCTCCCAGGTTTGAATAATACTTTGTAATAAATACACCTTGCAGCTTTATTTGCTGTGATCAGTGGGAATAAAGTAGTTTTAATATGTTTTTAAGTGGGAAAATCCACCTGAGAGGACATGTATAAAAAACGCGCCCTATAGTCCGGTGCGCCTTATGTGTGTGTTAAATACAGAAATGGGACACATAACTGAGAGTGCGCCTTTTAGTCCGGTGCGCCTTATGGTCGTGAAAATACGGTATATTTACTTGTTTATTCAAAGAGGACAGATTCTGTATTTTGCTTTTGCTGCAAATTGTTTAATAAGAGTATAAGCCAACCCAAATTAGTTAATATTAGAAATAACAAATAAATACATTTAAGTACTCTGTTTAATCATCAAGAAATGTCCCCTGATCATATCCCAAAGGGTTACATAAGATAGAAACCCACAGCTCTAGATGAGTCACATCAAAGACAGATAAACAGAGAAAAGGCATGTTGGCAGTTCATTTTAACTTTCATCTTTTTCAGGGGCTGTCCTGACAAGTTAGGTTTACTCATGTTACTATGTTTTTTCACTTCCTGTTTTATTTTGTATTCATTTCATTTAAGGCAACTACACTTCCTGAGTTCCTCCTTACAATCAGGATCTTCCACACCTTAATGTTATTCACCTGGAGTTTGTGATCCTTCCTTTGGTCTATTTATTTCTCAGTCATGCAGCTTCCCTTTGCGTTCCAGCCTTTTTTTTATTTGAACTCAGCTTTCTTAAAATTCTTTAACCCTGCTTGTTGTTGGACCTTTACCTTCCTCTGTTTTTGATACTCCTGCTTCCTTTGGATTTTTGGTGTTTGACCCCCAGTGTTTTAAAAGAACCTTGAACTTGATTCCACTGTGTCAGTTCTTGCATTTGAATCCTCTATTTCTGAGCCGACTGTTTTAGTGGCTGTTTAGTAACTGTCTGAGCATCACTTGGCATTTCGAGGAACAAATTTAAAGCTTATTAAGAAAACAGTGGTAACTTTGGGGGTTTTAAAGAGACGATTGCCAAATCTGGCTCCAGTATGCACAAATATGTCAGCTGCATAAAGAGTAAAGAAACTTATCAATATTGTCTAGAGAGAGATCCAAAATTAGTTCATTTCTCTTATCACCTAAAATATCAGATATTGTATAATGAATGCCACAAAGAGAGCACAATAATTATTTGTACATCTTGATTGCAACTTTTGATAAAAGCCATCAGGAGCAAATGTCACTTATTCTCCGTTTTGCCTATAGGACCTATTTGAAAGTGGATGTACAAGTCAATGACTTTCAACTCTTTATTCATTGATATTTACATCCTGGTAAAAAAAAAAAAAAAAAAAAAAAAAAAACTTGAAAGGGATTATAACATGCACTCCTGGCAGAACAAGAGTTGGACAAGGCATAAAGGACTGTTGTGGAATATGATAATGGACTAAATTTAAAGAGACAAAATGAGGGTGTTCAAGCGGTCTGAAAATCCTCACCTTATATATAAATTTAATTCTCTGCCAATTTATACTGTTCATTCTTTAATCAGCACCTTATGTCTCTAACTGACCTAGTTAATGGTTATATTTTATTGTTTGTAAAAAATGTCAGCAGCAATATCCAGAGTAAATCTGGAAATAAAACAAGGTATTGGCTTTAAAGAGCGTGGAGACGGAGGACAGTAGTGATTATACTCTACAGATTTACATTTATTGCAAATATGTTTTATGCAACTCTTCATTAGAACTGCTTACAGTAGTTTGATTTTACTGTGAATGGCACTTTTTGTTATTTCATGTTGCAGTTCCTTTTCCTGTCATTGACAATAAAAAAGGTGTAAACATGTTTCCTTTTCATTGGCTGCTTAAATCTAGTTACCGGAGCTGTGATGAAGAATAAACAAAGAGTAAACTAATGGATAGTGTGATGATCCATAATGATGCAAGAAGAAGAAAACATTTCAACAAGGACATGATTTTACTGATCAAATCCTGCTCCCGACCAGGCTAGCTCTGAGCAGATTGTTACTATGGCAACAGAAACAGATGTTGAAGAAACTCTCTTTGGAGGAAACTCTCTTTGTGAAATGGAAAACTCAAGAGTTTCCCTGATTTTCTGTTTAGAAAACTTTGGGCCGGATTTATCAAAGGTTTGCGTGTATTAAAACGTGAGCTATTTCACTGCGCACGCTAAAAAATGTACAAACTGATCTATCAACATCGTGCTAAAAGGATTTGGTCTTTAAAACGTGCTAAATAGCGCCTCTTATCCATTTAGTACTTTTTCTGCAATGAATATGCAATATGGGGCGTTTACACGCAAAAGTGCGTCTTGTGGGAGGAGAACATGTAAATATATTAATTTAGCACTCGCAAAGTGATTTATCAAACCTGAAAGCAATTTTGCTAACGGTATCTGACTCTATATTTAACACGTTTCAAAAGAAGGTGCAAATGGTCTGTATGCGTAATTGCGCACACATGGCAGCGGTTATTGTCGCAAGAAGGAGACATGGAAATGAAGCAAGGAGACGCAGAGAACGCATTTTTTCACTCCGTGTGAATATTTTTGCAATGAACGAGGAAACGATCATCAAAACATATCGTTTATCCAGCATTGCCATTTTGGAGCTGTTGGGGGAACTCCGAATGGATTTGGAGCCAGCCACAAGGAGGACCCACGCAGAGATATCACAAAACTCCTTGCAACATTGCACTTTTTTTGCATCTGGGTCATTCCAGCGTACGGTTGCAGCGAGAGCTGGGATCTCCCAATCTCGTTTTTTCAGAAGTGCTGTCCAAAGTGCTGTCCGACGGGGTCGGGGTTCTCCCCCTGCGCCTGTGGAGCAACCTGCCAAATGCTGCGGGGATGAGCCATTTGGTATGTGCATTTTTCTACAGGCCAATACAAAACACTTGTTTTTTTTTGTTTTTTTTTACTGCAGTGAAGTAGAAATTCAGCCACATACCACCTTAGGGAATAAAGGTTGCCAAATTTTGTATATATATAGGCTATATATATATATATATATATATATATATATATATATATATATATATATATATATATATATATATATATATATATATATATATATATTTTTTTTTTTTTTTTTGGAGGGGGTGGGGGTGTCACTGTAAGATTAAAATTTCTTAATGCACTAGTTTGCACAAACTACAAACTACTTTGCTGCAAACCACAAAACGCGCAAAACCATCATTTAAATAGGGCGTCTCCAACAGTTTTGCACCTGCCACCAGTTACGCAATCGCTCTTGTTAAATCACCCGCAAACCATGGGTCAGCCCCTCGCGCAAAATTCCAGTTTGCGAGCGCAAATTACTGCACGCAAAATTGGATCTTGATAAATCCGGCCCTTTGAGTTTTCAGTAAACCTGCTCCGTGAAACGGACTCTGGTGCCGTGGTTGTGGCCACCCAACTTTTAAATAAATATTGATGCAAAAACTGCTGCTACAATCATTTTCAGGTACAAAAAATGACTTAGCGCATGGAAAGTATTGCATTTGCATATTCCCAACCATAAATTGTTATGTTGAGTGTTATGGTCATAAGCACATAATCTGCATATTCTCTGAGGATTCACATGCAAAAAAGTAAAGGTAAAAGTTGTTGGTAAGTATTATTATGATTTGTGTAATGCTTGTCGCAGTTGTTAGCAGAGTTGTCAACAACTCAATTTGATTATGATCTCCACCTTCATTCTTTTTGTACAATATCATTAAATAGCTGTAAATTAAGTAGCTTCAGCTGTAAAGAGTTCATGCTTTTTGGGTGCTGTATGCCTTTTTAATTTTAAATGGGTTTTCAGATTATTTATTTATGCAGTTACATTTGTAAGTACATTGAATGATTCACAGGTACTTCCATGTTGTTTATTTTGTCATAAGAGTCTTCCATATTTGTTCATTTTCAACTTTTTAGTTTCTCATTTATTTCTTGTGTTCGGTCTTTGTAGTTTAGTTTTCCCTTAGATTAGAGTAAATCTTTTCCCTTTGATTTGATTTGTAGTTTTTCTTTGTTTTTCAATTGTACCTTCCCACAGTCTCCTTATGTGGTCAAAGCAGTTTTTTATATTCAATAGATAGAGCTTACCAAAATCTAATGTCCAGTCATGACCAGTCATACCATCATGATTTAAGTTGTATAGTTTGTTGTCATTGTTAGCCTATGTGTTCAGGAAATTCACATATCAGATTTGTCTTAAAATCTGGCTTCCTTACATTAAAATATCACAATGTGGGTGATCTACTGTATATGAGCAATGACACAGAAACAGTAAGTGAATTAGAATGTTATTGAAAAGTACATTAATTCTATTCATTCGATTGGCCAAGAAAAACAAATCATGTAGAATATTTACAAAGACTTGTTAATTATATTTCTCCAAATAATGAGGAAATTATATTTAAGATCACATCAGACAGATCAATTCTAAACACAGATGGACTTAATATAACGAATGTCTAATCAAGGTTGCGGCTTTTAAAAGGTACATCTAATCTGACAAAGAGCTTCATCAGGATGTATATTCAGATTGACTGAATCTGACATTTGAATAGACACTTTCTTCAGTCTTAAACTCTCTCCTGTTCATGGTCCCTGTAGAGAAATGTAAGCCAGCATAGGTCATATGCTCTCCATCTTCTGTCTGAGTGGAAACAAAAAATTTAAACCAAAAACTTAATTGTAGTGATTTTGTTACATATAGTGGGGGTTTATATATTTCTAATTAACAAAGAAATTTTGATTGATTACTTACAAAATCATCTGGTCGGCTTTGGTCATTGTATTGTGGTCGTGAAGAGGAGCTTTCTAAAGAGGAATTTGGATTCAATCATTTTATTTTTATTATCTATTTGTTTTAAGTTTATCTCTACTTACCCTTGTTTTTGCGTGATGTTCTTTGAGTTTGGCAACAGATTAAAACAATATTCAAAACCATCGAAATGGCCAAGCAGATCACAGTTATCACCAGCAACATAACATCACTCAATGAATGAGCTGGAAAAGGAGGAATACATGCAATTGTTTCTGTTAAAAATCTGTCATCATAAATAAGCTTTGTTTAAGAACATCTCATAAAGAAGTCATACCATTTTCAACTCTAGTTCCGTCTCCAAGTAATATCTCTCCACATGTGGCCACGGCACAGTAATAAGTCCCAACATCAGAAGGGGAGACCTTCTTAGAGAAGTTATAACTACATCTCTTCTGAGTGTTTGATGGCTTCTCACAATTTTCATGCGTTTTTCCATCGGTGTAGATGAGATCTGGAACAGACTTGTCCAGTTTGGCTCTTAACCAGAACACTCTGGGTTCTCCTGAACAGGTTTTTTCCTCAGGCTGAGAAAGGAGTGAACACTGCAGAGTATCTGAGTCTGCTGGACGGGATGGATCTAGAACAGCTGGCTGCTGAACAACACGGTAGCTTGAAGTTCTCTCAGTGTTTCCTATAATGAATAATGATACTGTTATTATAGTTGTTATCATTAGGAAAGAAGAAAAACAAACAGTGTGTTATTTTGAATTTGTTTTAGATTTCATTAAATGAAAATATTGCAGTTTACCACAGAAAAAACATGTTGATCTTAATTATGAGTTTTGTTTTGTTTTTATAAGTGAGAATCTCTTCACTAATATATGTGGAAAAGTATCTCAAGGTTAGATTAAAAAAGAAATTAGGTTAATTTCTGTCTCTCAGTCATTTAAAAGAATGAAAAACCTTATTTATTTGTATTTATATTAGATTCCCAAATAAAACACAATTTAAATATTTTCACATTAGAAAATATGTATTATTTTAATAATAATATTTCTAAGTTTAAGTAATCTCTGAATAAAAACAGTCAGAAAGAAAAAATGGTGGAAGCAAATTAAATATACATATATAAATATATTAACCTAAACTTTTTTTGAATTATACCATTTATATGCCCCTCTCAGTGTGACTCTTGACTCATGATCTCAATACCTATTAAAAACAGATCTGGTTCAGTGGCAAAAATCTTCCAATAAGATACAGTTATCTTAGAAATTGTACATTCCCTTCCATTGAAGACAGAAATAAAAATCAGCTACCACTAAAATAAACTGAACCTGAAAAAAGGAATAATAAATAAAAATAACTTAAAAATGGAAATAATAACATTGATTTTGAAAATATATACATATATCTGTATATATTAATTAATAAAAAAATGTTTACTTTCTTTTTTTCTTTTTTTTTCTTTAGCAACACTTGGAGGAAATGACAGAAATCAGGTGTTTTTGGTAAATTTCAGGATATGTTCAGTCAGATTTCTGCTGTTGACATGTAGGTTGGTTGGTTCATGAGCAAGGTGGTTTAATTTCTCTCGGAAAGTTTGTTTTTGTAGAATTATGTAAATTCAGATCAGTATTGTATTTTACTGAATAATCATTTAGTATTTTTTTTTTTTTTATTATTACTTTTTTCAGTTTTTTGTGAATCATTTTCTTTAATGGGAGGGTATGCAAACTTTCAAGCACAACTGTATAATTTATATACAAGAAAGTTTTTACCCTTTTCAGCCTTAAGGGATAAAAATGCTTTACTTAAGTTACATCATTACCTTCTATTAATAAATACATCCCATTCCATGTAGATTCAAACCAGTTGCTATAGGCACAGTGGTACATTCCCTCATCTTCTCTTGCAGTCTCTAAGATTGTCAGATTAAACGTTTTGTCATCCGATGTTGCGTTGAAAGCTGAGGATGGAAATCCAGGTCCATAAACAGGGTTTGTATTCATCTTATGCATTAAAATTAATTTGAGAGTATCTCCTGCAGTCTGCTTGTACCAGTGAAGCCAGTCCCTTTTCTGGTGGACCTTATTTACATCACATGTTAAAGTCACAGTTTTGCCCAACTGGACTGTCACCACTGGAGCCAGGGCATCTGTGATTTTAGAAGAAAAACAGAAAAGTTAAACAAAAAAAAAGTAATCAAACAATCAAACAAAATCATATTAAAAGAAATATATGAAAAATCTTATATCACGCAACATATAAAATCTTGGTTTATGTAACACTTACATCCTTCATTAAGAAAAGAAAACAGTGCAGCCCATAAAAGAGTCATATTCAAACTGTCGTCACAGAGACATTTAACATTTAGGTCATAGAGATGTTTCGTGAACCACTTTTAAGGGCATGTGATTTCAGAGAAATGCATTCATATCACTTCCTGCTGCCACACAGATGATAATGTTTAATGCAAAAATATATTAATATCCAAAGCTTTTTATTTTTTTAGGCTGAGGCCCAGAATTCTCTATAATTAGCAGAAAAAAAACAGAATCTCATATAATCTTACCATAACTGGAATTGGAACATGTTTATTTAGAAAACGTAATTATATTACTGTTAGTGCTACACATTGTGATGTGCCTTGGAGATTCCCTTGCACTAAGTTTAACCACTATTCATCTTAATAATAAAAAAAATCTAAAACAAGAATAAAAAGTTTAATATAATTTATTCCGGATCAGATTGGTTCAGAACAGAAAATTTGCAGTGAATCACACAGTTGCAGGCTCAAGTCATTGGCATGGGGATCAATGCCCTATTGCTTAACCATCAAGAATCCTAACTCTCAGGGTTACCTAGAGATGTATTTTTATTTTCTTCCTCTTTTTTCCTAACAAAGGAACTGTGCTATATAGATAATCGGCTTGGGGGTAAAAAAAAAAAAAGCATAAACTATAGTAAATTTCTCCACTGTGAATCAATCTACTGTATGGGTTGGAAAATCTTGTAATATATAGACTCTGTTCAACAGGTACAAGTAATATATTAGGTTTTACCAAGTGTACATGAAGCAGCAAAGAATAATACTAACAACTCCCCCTGATAAGGTGCCAAATTTTACGAGTACCTTTGAACAAGAGCTGCTCATATTCTGAAAAATTATAAACTGCAGGAAATGTGCATACATTTAGCACCATGCAACAATAAAAAAGCTTAAATGAGAGTTTTTTATTTAAGATTCAAAATGGTAAATTATAGTTTTTTATTGTAGAAAATTACACTTACTTCCTTGCTGAAGAAGAACATGTAGCATGACCCCAAACAGAAGCATCTTGACACAACAATTTACACGCTGTGATACTGACAAGACAGAAGGAAGTGGGGTAATTTTACATCATACCAACAAATCTCTGTATTTCCTGCCTAACTCACTTTTTTCTGCAAAACATAAAATTTTATTCTGTAAAGGAAAAAAAATGTGTTCAAATTCAGAACATGTAAAAAAGCTTTGGTTCAGAGTAACAAAGTGGAAAAAATTTCCTTTAATCAGATTAGACTTTAGAAAATAAAAACGTCTAATTAAAACCGAGAATTTCTGCCCAATGTTTTGCACTTGTGAATGCACAAAAATGGATCTTGAACATGCCTTCAAAGCCTTGAACAATTCACAAATCAAACTTTGGAAAAGTTCCTTAAAAAGTGCCCTTCACAATAAAATCAGTAAAATTTTTCATTGTTAATTTACAGTAATTTACTGCCTATTAATTGTATTACTTTTAAAGTAAATTCACAGTATTCTACTGGGAATAAATCACAATATTTGTTTGTAAATGTTTTATATTCTACTGGGAATATATCTCAATATTTATCTGTAAATATCTCACAGCAATGTATTGTGAATATTTTACAGCAATTTTTACTAAAATGAAAACTATATGTCGTAACTACAATGACAATGCCTATGGAATTATTGCGATATATCTACTCAGTAACCAGTAACTTACTGTAAATTTACAGTAAAATATTGTTAGTTGGATTTCAATTGGATTTTAACTAAATCTTTTTTTTTATTTTCTCCATGAACAAAGAACACAAAGACCAATGTAATTTAATATTTTATTATAAAAAGTAGAACATAAAGAATACATACACACAGAACTGCAAATGAACACAATTGTCAACTTTTCACATTTAAACCATCATTCACAGTCTATCAGTTTATGGACCGCTGTCCTCACATTTGGGCTGATTGACATTTTCCTGCACTTCAATCCAGCATCAGGGTTTTTCATCAAGAGGCACCTGTAAACAAAAGACAACAACTTTCAGTTTTACATAAATTTGTTGTTGCAATGTATACCCAGGGCACCGCTGTAGACTCTGTTTCCCTGTAAGTGAATTAAACACCAAAAAAAGAAATTAATAATTAAAGAGATGTTCAGATACCAAAAATTTCCTCCCAATATAGATACTTGTGCTGTGGGAATCACCAAAACAAAGTACAAATACCACTAAGTTGTAAAAAGCAACAATATTTCACCTGTATGACTATAAAATGACTGTCATAGTGTTAAGTTCTGGCTCAGGGATCAGATCATTGCTTGAAATCCAGTATTTATACCAGAACTTTCAGCAGTATCAGAGACATATCAAATTCTGGCATCGATATCAGAACAACTAACTGGAAGACAAGTACTGTAAGACTGATTACAGGCAAGCAAATCAGCTGCAAAGAGATGGAGACAGACAAACATTAAACAACTAACCTGTGACATAAACAGCATGCATGTTATATGAATTATGTCATCCGCTTGACACCAAAGATAAAAAGTTTGAGACTAAATCAACTTATCAAGAATGAGCTCATGTCAGCTACTCACAGGTTATATAATCTTCTAACAAAACGGAGATAGATGAGGAGTGTTTGGCAGCCAACTTTTATTCAATGCAGTTGACAAAATGCTAGATCATAGCAAAACATAAACTGTATTACATTTCTGATGCCAAAATAATTGCATTATAGATATGCCAGTTCCCAACTGTCAAAGTCAGGGTATCAATCTATCTCATTGTAGTTCTCTACCGTAACCTGTAGCGTCGGGAGGGGAGCTCTTTTTCTTCTAAAGCTTGCTGTCTGCTGCAGCATGTTTACCTGCCTCTGCAATGATTTAAGTCTTTATGGTGTGGGATTCACGTTATCACAGCGGTTTTTCAATTTTTATATACAAAATAAGGAAGTACATGTCTACTGACGTCTCACTATTGACTAGTATTTTCCCCATTTTTTGGAAATTCCTTCTCTTTTGTACTTTAAAAAAAGATCAGCTGATTTCTTTTTTAAATAAATTGTGACCTATTTCAAGAGCAAAATGTGAATGAAAGGGCTGAAATCTGTTCTCGAATGCGTGCTCCTATTTTTTTTCCCAATCTTTGGGAATTTACTCACAGGTGCCACTGTGAGTAAAAGGCTCACACTGTGCAGCCCTGCTGCAGATGGCAATTCAGAGATTTGGTGGTAAAGTTTGTGTTTCTGCCTTTTTAGGTTGATTAATGTAATTTTCAGCTGGTCAAGGCAGGTCTATCCATCTTTTGCATTTTTAAGAATCCATCTTTGTTTGGGAGAGTACATTTAACTGTGCTCCCCCTAATAATACCTCAGGGAAAGTATGTCTGAACTGTATGTTCCCCGCTAACAACATTTAGCATTTTATAAGCTGTCTTTTTTTAACAAAACTTCCATTTCCACTATGCATTCCAAATGCGAAATCTTTGAAACTTGACTTTGTAGGAGACACAGTTGCTCCTGCAAGGCAGTGAGATTCAACTTACAGACAAATTGGGATCTCTGATTGCTCAGTTGCTGAACATCAGGTGGCATTAGTTGAATAACAATTTAAACCTATATTGTGTGATTTTCAGCAACATGTAATGCCACCCCCCATGAAAAATCATCACAACCAGTATCTGCTAATCACCAATTTAAGTATTAAACTCATAACTTCTTTAGTGTTTGCATTAACATTGGAACAATAAGTATAAAAATTAGTAGAAGAAAAGGTATTATGGATTGAGCACTGTTTTAACGAAGGAGGCAGCAGAGTCAAACTTTTTTTTTTAAATCAGCTCTCTGTTTTTCCTGTGAACATATCCAATCTATGACTATCCTGCTTTGATCCTCCTAAGTCAGCCTACATACTGTAGCTAGCTTGGTCCAGTCATAGCCTCTCCCCCACCTTCAGTGCTTCAGTTTGCTAGGCAGGATACTCCAATCTACCTCTGTGCTCCTCCACTTTCCTCCTGAGCTAGAGCACTGTTCTGTTCAGAGCTCCAGAGGGGGGGCATGGCTGGCCACTTCATCCCGGTTATGGAGCTCTCTGAATCGGTGTTCTTGCACTGTTGTTCTGCTTCTGCTCTGAGCTTCAGAACATTGCTCCTTTACCTCTGTTCTCCAGGTGATTCATCCCCCTGTTTTGGTCTCTGGTTATAGTGTTTGACCTTTGACCAAAACAAACAAGGACCAAGTCCAGGATATAGATCCAAGCATTGCCGACTGAGTGGTGCGAGTCTAGTTTACATAGATCATTTTATAAATTGTATTTTATTAATCTGTGTAGGATATAGATTTTATATAGGCCTACCTTGCTGCAGATGCAATGGCGATCTCTACAGCCACTAGTTTGTCAGCTCTGTACTGCAGTAACTCAAAGATGTCTGCCTCCATACATAAAGGCCCACTACTATGTAATTATAAAGAGCAATACAACACAAACATGCTTGAGACTTTCAGTTCAAATATGATAATAAATAACATACATATGGATGATATATTGCATTCCTGAAATGATTATGCTGTGTTCACATCAAAAGGGTTTGAGCATCACAAACACTTTGGACTTTGGACGCTGGGTCAGAAGCTGGTCAAATTGCGTTGACACTTCAGTGCTCTGGTTGTGTCTCTGCTCTGTGCTGTAGCTTTAAGCCAAAGAACAGCTTGGCTTTATATACTTTCATGCGTTAGCATGTGTTGTAGTACTATGTAATAAATAAGTTAAGCTATTTTAAGTTAAATTACATTTTTGTAATTTGGTCATCCCACCACTCCATAGGATTTTATTTAAACAAAGGTTATTACATTTTTTGTGCAATTATTTATTTACTTTCTTTAAAGTTAGTTTGTGATTACACAAGTTAAGTGAATTCTGTATGTAACTCATTATGTAATACCACTGGCAGCAAACAGTTTCTATGTTTTCATAGTTTACAATGCCAGTGCCTGCCATCTTGTTTTACAAGCATATTTCACAGGTTGTATTTTGGTGAACTTTGAATTCAGATTGAACTCCCAGATGAAATACTTGAAATAAAAGCAATATATGAAAATGAATGTTTTTTTCCAATTTCCTTTCATGAAATGGAAGTTAGACAGAAAATCGATAATCGATATGATCAAATTTGAGATTTTATTTTTAGACATTGCCCAGCCCTGAATTATGTTTTGTTTCTTGAAACAATCTATGCCCTTTTCACAGATTGCTCAGGCACAAAATGAACTTCTATGCAATAACTAACAAACACACATGTCTGAGCATTATATACGTTTGAACCTGAGTGACAAAGATTCCTTATTCTTTGTTGCATGGGCAATCACTGTCTGTTCTCTTTTTCTTTTGTCTTTTTTTGCAACTGCTCCCACCCCGGATAAGGATAGTGTTTAGCAATGACTCCATGACCGATAAGAAAGGTTGCAGCTTCAAGGCTGTTACAGGTGGATTACAAAGGAGCAAGAAGCTCATGACCCCTCAAATTTGAAGAAGAGACTAAAGAGCAGATTAGGGCAGTGGTTCTCAATCCTGGGCCTCAAATACCACTTCCCTGCATATTTTAGAATTATTCTCACTGATACACACCTGACTTTTAACTGAATGATTAACGGGTTTCTGCAGCAGGCAGAAACCCGAAGGCTGCTAAGGGGGTCATGCAAGTATTTGCCTGCACCACACAAATGTGTAATGTGGTGCTGCAAAAAAGTGCAGTTTATGGACATGAAGCCCCTTTTTATAAGCTCCGGAGGGTAATGTATGGAAATGTAATCAAATTAACCGTTTTTGTTACAACCCATCCAGTGTGATTTCAAAGAATCTTCAAAGCTTGTTTTCAATTTAATTCTTACATTATTCTTTTATTTTCACAAGTTTGATATATTTAAAAAGTTTTTACTCCACTATTTCAGAACCTGTAAATAGCTCAAAAAGTCCCTGGTTAGATGTGATTCTGGATTTGCCACAGCCTGTCACATTTATTACATAATTTTTCTAAAGAAAAAAAAGACAATACTAAACAAAAAAGGAA